ATGTGATCACATCGATTGATCGGAATCAATTTTCGCCGTCGATAATGGGGCGACTTAGCTAAGCAGTGCTCTTGATTGGCTATTGACAGCAAAAGTGGATCCCGTCTAATCGTTACGCGAACGGATGGCTAGACCTATGATGATATACCTTGTAGATACAAGTGTCACCCTGACAGTCAGGTAAACCTTCAACTTAATCTCGATAATGAATGCCATAATTTGGATCTGAATCTGATTCTGATTCATGTTCAAGACAAGTAAGCAAATAGGGGATACAGAACAAAGTACATTCATTCATTGTTGTACAAAGCCAAGGCAATTCATCTTTGGAATATACCATTTCTTGGGTCTTGACTTCTCCAACCATCAAGTTCTTAATTCTATTCATCTTCTTCAACCTGGACAACTATGTCTTCTTCTTCAAGTAAGAAGAGCTCGAGAATTTCTTCTTCCAGTCAAAGATCGACACTTTCCCTTCACAAGACTGAAATAGTCATCAATGTTTACGATCTCCTTCCTGTAAGTGTCCATGGAACAACTTCTTAGTTTGATAATTGCTGACACGGATTTCGCGATCAGGCAGGCAAACTTTCGTCAATTCTTTGGAGTTTTGGTACGTCCTTACTTCATAGTGGAATTGTTATAAATGGCAGAGAATACGCATTTGGAGGACACGATAAAAAGGGAAACACGGGAGTGTATTGGCAAACCCCAAGAGTAGAACCGCCTGGAGGAACTTTCAGATGCGAGATTGTCCAAGGATTCACATTCTCTCCTCAAGCTGAAATCGATGCCGTTATCAAGGAGGCTTCAGCTATCTTCCAAGGAACATCGTATAATCTCCTTACAAGAAATTGCAACCACTTCACAGCATATATGTGCGAAAGACTTACTGGTCAGTCTGGGCCACCATGGTTGAATAGAGCTGCCAGTATTGGAGTCGCATTACCGTGCATGGTTCCCAAACAATGGATCACACCTCCAGACTACGAAACTGCAGATGGGGAGCTTGTTGATGAATATCATGATGAGCAGGCTCTGTTGAGCAGCGCAAGACATAGCATGGATGATGGGCGACCAGATTTAGGCGATGATGAGACAGAATGGAGTTGTGATGTGGACTTTCAGGCCAGAAAAGGAAAGGGAAAAGATGTTAGAGACACATCAGGCAGAGTAGTTCCCCTTTCAGAGAGGGCACCTACGGCCAGGAGATAGATTTGAATTTGGGGTGGAAGGATATATGGGTACAGGCTTTTTCAGGCGTTTTCGGCAAAGGACAAGGAAGGATACGAAGGACCGGCGCCAAGGGTTCATTTTATGATACCATTTCATGATGCCATGATTCTTCTATTGTACAGATTTACACATCATATTGCAATTATGCACAGCGGTCTTTTTACCACCATAATTCCCCTTTTAACCCAATCTTCTTGGTTTCTTACTTCTTGTACCACCAAACTTCAATCTTGTAGCATCCGTAACTTTGACGACCTTTCCTCTCAACCATCTACCTTCTGTGCCCAAAAGAGCCTTTGTAACAGCCTCTCTCCCCGCACCAAATCCTCTCAGAACCAACTCCAACTTGTGGATATCACGACCAATAGCCCTCTCATGAATCTGCGTCATCACCAGTGAAGCCAATTGGAAAGCCGAATCATAGTGTTTCCTCCCCGAATGTCTGAATCCAATGTTTCCACACGATAATGAAATGATGGGTTCCCGGTTTGGTCTTGTGAGCGTGATATGGGTATTATGTCTTGTAGCATAAACGTGAAAGTGATGCGGTTCTTCCTCAACGATTCGTTCCCCAATCAAATTTCCATCCGAAGGAATTGTTGTATCCAGTAAGCCCGGTCGTTTTCGATCTTGCTGGTTTAGCATCATCATGTCTTTAAAAACACTTGTTATGCCTAAGTTTCCTCCTGCTGCTGCGGATCTGGTAGCCTTTGGATTCAGCGAAGTGGATCTAGCAGCCTTAGCTCTAGCCAGGAGACCGGCAGTTCCACCAGTCTTCAGGGTTGAGTGATTGTGAGGTACATAGTCGGGAAGAGGCTTGTTGTTGCCCTCAGCTTTCTGATTTGGTGTACTCGAAAAAGGTCGCAAACATCGGAGGGGTAAGGTCTGAGTGATATTCGCAGATTCGGAAATGGAGGCGAAAGGCGATTGAGCCAGAACTCGCCGTGAAAGAGTCCGACTCATGATTGAATGAATATCGAAATCCGGAGATCCAATATTGCAGTCTTGGTGGCTTTGATATCAAAATCTAGTCGAAAGTTGAATTCGGACTGGGTTGTTCCGCTTCGCTCACTAACCCTTGCAGCCTTGAAATTTTGTCGATCGGAGAAAATGTTCAAATCGCCGCCATTCAATGATAACCTTGCGAAACCAAATTTATTTCAAGTCTTGTATCTTTTGAAGTAGCTTTTTAATAATTTATTCTCTCCTTCTCGGTCAATATGAACGGGCTACGAACAGCGGCGACTAGGACGCCCACAAGCAAACAGATTCATCTGTCTTCAATCGCGAGACCTTCATCCAATGGCTCCACCCTTCGTCGCCAGATCGTTCAACAAAGTCGAAGTTTACAATTTTCTACAGCGGGATCTTCGAGACCTGCGACTCTTTCATATCCTGCGCCTTTGCGATCACGATTCCTTCTAGAAGAAATTAGATCTGTAGTATGCCTAGTATCTTCGCGGCATTTCCATGAAAGCTCGAGACTAGGCAAAGACAAGAAGGCAAAACCAGTAGATCCAGCAGACCCAGCAGCGAAGGAAGAAGCTACAGAAGAAGAGCCTAGCAAAAAGGAATCTGCTAAAGACTCAGAATCTACTTCCGGAGAGGATAAGACCAAGGAAGAAGGAGAGGGCAGTGAAGGCAAAAAAGAAGGATCCAAAGAGGCCCCTCCACCCCCACCACCCCACGGAGACAAAACTCCATGGCAAGTCTTCACCGAAACCCTGCAAACCGAATTCAAGGCATCAAAAGAATGGAATGAATCTACCAAGCAATTGGCCGAAGGTGCCCATCAATTTACAGAGAACGAAAATGTCAAGCGTGCCAGACAAGCTTTCGAAACTACCACTGGAGCAGTAACCTCGACAACAGGCAAAGTTCTAAAGACTACCGCAGGCGCCGTTGGTAAGGGAGCTGCTTGGACTTGGGAAACTCCAGTTGTGAAGGGTGTGAGAACTACTGTTAATGCTACAGCCAATGTACTTGACAAGGCGACACAACCAATCCGACAAACGGAGGCATATAAGAATGTTAAGAACGTGATTGATGATGGAAGTAGTTCGAGGTATGGAGGATGGGTTGAGAAAGAAGAGAGGCGGAAAGCAAGAGAGTTGCGGGAATTGCAAGAGGGTACCGCCGGCAAAATCAAGGAGGTCCCAATAGAAGATCCAAAGTAAGTGATACCTTCACCACATCAATTTCCACATCTAACAATTGCAGCGCTGGAACAAATGTCACCCTGCACAAAGACTCAGCATACAAAGAGGCTTGGAGAGATTTCCGCGACTCAAATCGTGTCATGCAATCTTTATTCTCCATGAAAACCGTCTATAACGAATCCGAAAATCCCTTGATCTCAACTGCCCGCAGCATATCTGATCGAGTTGTTGGGTTCTTCGCCGAGAACGAAACCGCCCAAGTAATTAAGAAATTCCGCGAAATGGACCCCTCCTTCCAAATGGAACCTTTCCTCCGCGAAATGCGCGAATACATTCTCCCAGAAGTTCTCGATGCCTATGTAAAAGGCGACACCGAAACCCTCAAACTCTGGCTTTCCGCAGCCCAATTCTCCGTTTACGATGCTCTTTCAAAACAATACACAACTGCTGGTCTCAAATCTGATGGTCGCATCCTCGATATCCGACATGTTGAAGTCCTGTCGGCGAGAATGTTGGATAATGATATTCCAGTCTTCATTATTACTTGCAGAACCCAAGAAGTCCACGTATATAGAAACGCAAAGACAAATCAATTAGCTGCCGGTATGGAAGACAAGGTACAATTGGTCACCTATGCGATCGGTGTTACAAGAGTGGCGGAAGATGTCAATAATCCAGAGACGAGAGGTTGGAGACTCATTGAGTTGCAGAAGAGCGGAAGAGATTACATATGAGAATCTCCTCTTTATCTCCTACTTTACTTTCTGTCACGGCGTCAGGCTCACAAAAGCTTATATCCTCCCTCGTCTATTTCATCACTATCTTGTAGCATAGCGCTTCCAGTCTTCCTTCATCATAAAAGCAAGTCATCCCTTCATATCTATCTGGGTCCTTATTTCAACCCATCGATCATATAACTTCACAACTCCCCCTCTTGTACATCATCTCACGCTACATCACATTACAATACACAACCAAAAACCACCCCCCAGATCAAAAGGAGTTCCAGGAAGCGAGGGACTTACATTTCACCAATTGACAAGATTCTTGTCAAAGCGTGTGTACTAATGAAATCAAAAAACTTATCTATTTGTTCGTCTCGTCTGAACTAAGCTTCGACGATGCCTTTTAACGCCACTCTTACGATTTTCAATGGATAGTGAAGGGAGAAAGGAGGAGAAAGAAAGAGGGAGGAAGGAAGGAAGCTTGATAGAAGATTCCTGGAGAGAAAACCCCTCACTCACTTAGGGAGGAAGGAAATTTGTTCATATACTGTAAAATTAACGATCAAATCGAATGTATATCGGAATGAATGGAATGGCAAATTAAAAGCTAGAGATATTTATTATCATACATTGTTCTTTGTGCTTTTCTCCTCGATACCTCGCAGTGTGAAGCTGTCAGTCAGATTTCTGATACTAATTAGTTTATCTAATAAATAAAGCTATGATACAACTAACAAGATATGGCTAGGTAAAGCTATCTTTAAAATATGCTCAAACGCCAGTACTGATACGTGAATCAATATAAAAGTATAAAAAAGCAATTGCACAACCCAATCCCATCAAAAAGAACCTCGTTATACGCATCCCACATAACTTCTACCTAAACATCATCAGCAAACCTTACACCCCCTTTTCCCTTTCCCTTCCCCCTTCCTTGTGCCTCTCCATCTGCATCTGCATCTCCACCCTCACTTCCCCTCTGCCCTCTACCCCCCTCTCTCTCACTCAAACTCACACTTCCCTCTCTTACCCTCCCACCACCCTCAAAACTCCCCGTTCCATCCATTCCCATCCTCAAATTTGCACCCATGCTTCCACTCTCTCCCTCTCCCTTCCAAGCAGACTCTACAGCGCGACTTCTAATCCTCCACTGTCTCTTCTTTCCCCTCATCAATCCCCCTCCTATATACATTCTCCTTCCTCCACTCACGAAATTCTCAGTCTGTTCCTGTCCCTGCCCCTCCACACCCACATCCACATCCCCATCCCCACCTCCATCTCCATCTCCATTCAAATTCAAACGCATATTCCTCCCCAACGAAACCGGCGGTCCCCTCTCCTTCTCCCTCTCCCTCTCCGGCATAACCGGTACCCCGACCCCCAAGCCCCCCAATCCCGGTCCTATCAATCCGCCCACCATCGCCATCGGAGTCGGGATTCTTTCTCTCCTCTTCAGACCGCCTCTCTCCTCTCTTCCCTCATAACCCATCCCCTCTCTCGCCGGCGCACTAGCTCTTCTTTTTTCCTGCGCGAAATTCTTCAAGATGCCTTTTCTTTCTCCCGGTCTGGGGGTTCCAATTGCAACTGCATCTCTGTTTAGCGACGGATATCTAATCAGACTATTCGTGCCATATTCACTTCCTCCATCTCCCTCCCTCACAATGATAATTGTATCCTGTGAACCAGTACCCGCACCATCTAATTCAAGACTAACACTGTTGCCTCCTGGTTCACTTTTCGAGTGAATTCTTCGGTCTCTCTGAGGAAATTGAGCATCTGCGACTAATTGTGCTGCGGTAGGAATTGTTATATCATCTATCGTCCCACTCTGAACAGAATTGGGCATATCTGTGCAAGAATCCATAATTCCATCTGTAAAACCATCAAACCTGACTGTTCCCGACTCTTTAACATCTGTATTACTACTATTCATCTCACTCGTAGCAAAATCCGTCGTAGCAGTAGCATAACCGGCAATCTCTATTTCACGCACCATCCAATCAGCTAGAGCTCAAGATACGACGATTCCAGGAAACAGAGAAAACAGATATCAAGGGAAGAAGAACATACCATCTTCATCACCAGCAGCAACAACAGTACTAACACCATGTTTCTTCAATTTCTTTTCCGCCTTTCTTCTGATACTGTCTTCCTTCTTTCTCAATGATTCTGCTTTCCGCTCTTCCTTGTCTCTTTTTCTCTGTTCCTTGGCTGCCTCTTTAGTTTGTACTTTGACTGGTGTTACTGACTGGACAGAAGAGGGTTCGAGAATGGGAGTTGGGGGTGTGACATTAACTGGCTCGCTGATAGTTCTTGAAGAAGAACCTGATTTTCTTCTTTCTTTTGCTAGTTGTTTCTTCTGTGCTTTGATAATGTCTTTGGGGGAAGAGAAACTGGGACTGGTATAGATGGGCGAATCTTTCGAAACGAGTAATGGAGTGAGCTCAGAGGCAGTGGTGATATTTACAGGCGCTTCTGCGGCAGAAGCTCTAGGTTTTCTTTCCTCAACTGGCTCATTCGTCGAATGTTTTGGAAGTTGAACAAACATTGCACCTCTGGGTAATCCTTTGGGCAGTCCTTTTGGCAAACCTTTGTCCAGTTTCTCCACCTTATCCTGTACATATCCCTCGATCTTACCATTATCAAACTTACCATTATCTGCCTTACATCCGTTATCGGCCTTCTCGTGCTTCAAATCAGCACTCGTTAGAACTGACTGAGAAGAGAGCATCGAGTGTGTAGAAGAAGGAGTTCGACAAGGATGTTCCTCTCCCCACGGATTCGGGTGATCAAGCACATTCTTTGCATGAATCGGGACGGGCAAATTGCCAGTAGAAAAGAGAGATCTTGGCTGGCTCAAGATTGGTGGGCGAGGTGGACTCTCGGGTGGATGGGCTTTACATGTTTGTTCAATTGATTGGGCTGTAAAGAATTTGCGCTGAGGACTGGAAGAACGAGAGGCGGTAACAGGAGGATTAGCATTAGTACAACGAATAGTGGCAGTGGCTGGTTGAGGGGTGGTAGCAGGCCGATGAACAGGAGTTGGTCGAGGAATTCCCCCAAGAGGCTGCTGCTTAATTTGAACCTCCGAGTTACTTGCGGGGAACTTGGGTTTACTAAGATTAGTAATTTTGAGTTTCGAAGAATCTGTCTTTGAGAGTAGGCTCGCATGATTGAGCTCGTCTGCTTTGCGTTTCGATTCCTGAGTATGTTAGATAAAGCGACCCCAAAATCCTGCCTGTTCGATATGCATTACATAAGTATTTTTGTTAGATGTGCATAGAGTTCACAAAGGTGCAATGTCCATACTACCACACTGTGGTTGGTATCAAGGTTTACCACGGTGATGTATAGTAGCATTGGATATATATTAAATAAATGTTTTAGTGCAAATTCAAACGCCACCTAAGCAAACTCGCTATTTTCCCATGACCTCCCGTATGCGATTCTATATATTCAAAACTTTTGAGGTTTAGCTTGATCCATCACTTACATCTTTTGATTTGCCGCTGGAGCTTGTGCCATTGCCAGTCCCCTTTCCATCGTCCTGTGAGTGGTTGTGATCTTTAACCCCTTTTGTTGCTTTCGCAAGGGTGACCGTCTTGTTCTCGGTAGTGAGATCATTCACGAGAGTTGTATCCTTTTTTGCAGGGCTCTTTGATCTGGACTTTGATCTCGATTTCCTGTCAGAAGGTTTGACGAAGATTTGCTTTGCCCATAGGTCTGCATATCGCCCCTTAGAGTGAAACAACTTATCATGAGATCCTTGTTCGACTATTTGACCATCCATGACAACAACAATATGGTCGGCATTCATCACAGTTGATAACCGATGACTAAAAACAGTTAGCACGAAGTAAATATGCTTTACGTATAGAACAAAACTCACGCAACAATAAAGGTTGTCCGACCCTTGCACAATGCGTTGAATCCTTCCTGAATTTTTTGTTCCGTCTCTGTGTCAACAGCGCTGGTAGCTTCATCGAGTAGTATGATTTTTGGTTGTTTTAAAATGGCACGAGCAATCGCAACACGTTGTTTCTCTCCACCAGAAAGTTTTACGCCACGATCACCAACTTTAGAATTGTAGCCATCCGCAAATTTCATAATCTTGTCATGAACAGCGGCAGCTTTACAAGCCTCATATACTTCCTCGTCTGTTGCGTCCAAACGAGCATATCGAATGTTATTCATGACGGTATCATTGAAAAGAGTAGGATCCTGTGGAACAACACCAACATGGCTGCGCAGACTATGATTCTGTGTCAACAAGGGTACTCAGTATTCGAATCATCTTCTTACCTGTGCATTGTGATGTCTCGAATATCTTGACCATCAATCTTGATACTTCCTGATTTAACGTCGTAGAAACGATCCATCAATTTTAACATTGTTGATTTACCTCCGCCAGTCTCACCAACAAAAGCAATCGTCTTTCCACCCGGAGCAAAGAAACTAACATTCTTCAAGATCGGCTTTCGCTCATCATAGGAAAAACATACGTCGCTGAACTCAATCTCGCATTTACTAATCTCTAAGTCTTTGGCATTCGGTGCTTCTTTAATCGAGGGCTCTGTCTTGAGTAGTTCAAGAAGGCGCTCGGCATCTATCAAAGAACTAGAGATAGTTCTATATGCGGAAGCAAGGAATGATAGTGGTTCTGAGTTAGGGTTAGTATCCTTGCACATACTCAGGACCTCGACAAAGTCATACCTTGTATCTGACCCCAGAACATAAGCAAGGTAGTGAAATTTCCAACGGTTTGACCCTCATAGACTACCGAATAAGCACCAAGACAGAGTACACCTGTCAGTCCAAAGCACATAATCAGGCTCTTTGCCATGGAGGCAATGTACCAGAACCATTCATAGGCCCATTTGGAGTCAATGTGTTCTTTGATGACTACAACAAGTTAGTCAAGTAACCAATCAATCTTGAAAGTCGTGTACGCGGGTAAATTTACCTCCAGAGTAGCGTTCGTTCTCGTAGGGTACCATATTAAAAAGCTAGTACTTCGTTAGTGTCTGTATATAATGATAGCCATATAGATACTGACGTTAGCAGTCGTCCAACCATCCAGTGACTCTTGTCCCGTTGTCCATTCCTTTCTGGCAAATGTTATGTAGTCCCGGCGTTGATTTGTTCTCATGGAGATCAGTTTTACAGTAGCGTACATGTAAGATACAAATGTGACAACCAATACAAGGAACATATAAGGTCCAAAGGCACCGAAATAAATGAACGCGATGACTAAATCGATGATCATCGGGACTACCTGAAAGCAGATCATCTCCATCAAATCTGCCACTGATCTACCTCCGTGCACTACCTGAAAGAGATCCGAGGATGATTTGCTATCGTGGAAATCGGAAGACAAGTTCATTATATGGCTATGCGCGGCTAAACTGAGTGTTTTGTATGCGTACTGTTCCAAGGGATTCCAGAGCCATGTTCTTATTACTGTAAGACACGAACCACCATTTATGTACCTTAGGAGCGAGTATAGAAGTACAGGTGTCCAAATATTATGGCTATGATCTAGATAAATAAGTTAGAGAAAGTCATACGAGCTGGGTTTCCAATAGTCCAGACTGCAGTTCGATAATGGCAGGGTGTTGATTTGAAGTCAATTGCAATATTCGAATTGTCGAATATGTTAAATTCCTTCAAAAATCGAAAGCTCAAATCTAGTCTGCTAGTCTGGACTATTGGAATCTCCGTTGATGGCCACTAGAGGATCACTTACCGCCCCCAGTATAATTGATTAGGCTTTGGACCATTATACCAAACTGAATTGGAACGAGAAGATTCAAAGCATTGCTTGCCAGTAAAGTGATTGCAACAAGAACAGCCCTTAACTGGAGCATTTTGTGATGTACTGGCCAAACAAAGGGAATGAACATCTAGAAATTGATGATTAGTCTATATGTTCGAATCATAGTCGAACGCTGGGCTCTCACAGAAAATCCTTTGAGGTAAGTCCACCAGTTGCCGTCTTCCTTAAGTCTTTTTGCGATAGCCTCTTTTGATTTGCGCTGATCTTTCAAATAAGAGTCTTCCGAAGCTACACTCGCTGTATCCGACTCATCTTCTGCATCTTCATTATCTTGAGTTGTCGGCTCACCCGTTGTACCATATCCATTACCATTCAGAGTGGAGCTTTCGGAGCTGGATGGATCCGATGGCTTCTTTAATAGTGATTGACGTTCTGTATCAATGGTTTCGGGAGCTTTATCTGAGTCGCGAATATATAAGTAGATAATAGGTAATGCGATGAGATTGAAGATTCTTATAGCTTGTATAGAAATGAGTATGTAATCGAAGGCCGAGTTGGGCGGCGGAGAAAACACATTTGGTAAGATGATTAGGCAGAGTTCTACACAAAGACCTATGCACCAAGTTCCATAGTATGGATACCACGTAGGAGATTTTGTGTCTCCGAGTGCAATTATTTGAACCAGAAAGACCAAAGTCGATGAGATGAGGTAAACCTAGATTGTCAGTAAGCAAAATGAATCTGATCAAGATAATGACATGGAAAATCAGAAAAGAGTGAAACCACACGATGTACAAAATGAATCGTACGCTCAAGTCAAATGTCTCCCAAATACCTATATACTTCAGAGCACTTTTCAATCTTCAGTGTGAATCAAAAACCAAATGATCATACAGACTATGATGATCATCAATATCCCAATTGATGCTTGACAATCAATTACTTCTTCAGACATAATCTCGGTATGCCAATTTTGAGGGTTTGGTTTCCCGCATTGCAGGTTGATGCTCCCTAATGAAAGAAATTTTCCACTCACAACTCGGTCTTGTCCTGGATTCCAGTTTTCCACTGATGACTTGATAATTGCGACAATTATCTCGACAGCCTATCATCACAAACATGTTAGAAGGACAATATTATGCACCATAGTATGATTGACATACATATGTTCCAGTCAGACTTCCAATGAAGCATAATATCAACCCACGACGAACATATTGATCCTGGACTTGAGATTTCTCTGCTTGCATGTAGCATACAGTAATACCAAGGGCGATGAAAAAATAGAAAAAGACGAGAGTCGGATAAGCATATCGTAGGATCTTCAGGGCAAACCAAAGCTACGAGGAGATTAGCTGAGCTTCATCAATATTTTTCAAGCTATGTTTTCCGCTGGATTTGATGAGCCGCACTACTCCAAGAATGTCTGAACATCTGGACGTAGCCAGTCTTCTTCCATGTCGCGGGGGGTAGTCAACTGCCGGACTTACGTTTGGTGAAGCAGCGGGAGTCAACATTGTCTCCATGAAGCTTGATGGATCTGAATCCATCAAGTAACGCGAAGTACGAAGCGAAATCTATCGAGATAATGACGAATCAGTTGTTGAAGATGTGGTTTGCATGCGGGTGAGAACAAAAAATGTACCAATTGCGACATTATACAATGAGAGATTCTAGGACAAGTTGGGCATATTTAGAAAGTGATGAGTGAAATATGTTTGTGGAAGGAACGATGTGGTTCTGCTAGATATATATGATAAGATGTAGCGCGCGCGAGGCTCTCCTCCTTTGTGAGTATTCTGAGAACCCAGGAAGGAATTAACCTTTCTTCGATCCAACCATGCTTGAATCATTGAAAACGTAAATATTGAAACAAGCAATGATGCGACGATTATCAAACATAAAGTACTTTCATTGAACGCTGTTGAAGAAAGGAGTGTTTTGTGGTGTCTTAAGTTATTATATGTAGTAGGTAGTCTACCACAATTTTTGCAATATAATTAACCTTGACATCCATTGACCAGATCCCCTGTCATCGCCGTGTATTTATAAATACCCAGTAGTTGTCTTACGACTCCAGATATTGATTCTGCATCATAATGTTTGGTATGGAATGTGAGCAAAAGACTTCTTACTCACGTATTGCTTATAATCCACTAGTTCATGGAAACTTGGGGCTCGAGGTACCAATAGCAGAGGAAGTTTTGAGTCAAGCGCAGGGAAAGGAGGCGAATATGCAAATATAAATATTTCTTACTCACCTGTATTAGTAAGCGTCAATTGGTGCTTACTACCTGACTAGATACAACTAACACTCCGATTATTCCTGTCAGCTGGATCAAATCAAGAGGAGATCGCTCGGGAGTGTCGATTCTCGGCCTCCAAGCCTTCCCACGCGATTCGGTGAGCTGTATGGGGTTGCAATTGATTCGCGGTACGTACTGTGTATGTATTTGGCAGTTGCGTCTTGGTCAACACCCCCGTTATATGATACAATTGGACAATTGGAGAGAGAATATGGACCAGATGTGAGGTTGCGGTGCATATTAAGTATTAATTCACGAGCAGACGCACGTTCGAAGAAAGATTTCCATTCAACGATAAGGGCGAAACCAATCTACTTCGGGTCTGGGATATTGAACTTGTCGGATCCTAGACCATTCCCTTGGAAGGATGTTCTCCACGCCACGCCTATGTACTCCGGATATGGCATTCATGGGGTCCTATGAAAGCGGTGACAGCGGTAAATGAATATGAATAGATTGAAAATCACACTCTCTCCATCTGTCGTCTGCTCGCCGACAATATGTGTTTCTATATATGATGTACGGACACCTCTCTTTCCTTGTTGTGCCTAGCGCTGAGTAAAACATCTGAGCACATCCACCATCGAACGTGCATACCGAACACTATGGAATGCAACTCATACAAGCCTACGCCTTGGATTGTTCGTCAATACCTACTCATACATTTGGTCATTGTACCTGTTGATAGGGAGGTGGCAATGTAATGATTCTACTCCAAGCAAGTCTTAAGGTACGAATATGGTGATGGTTCGGATGGGGCATGCATCAAAGCTACGTGATAGATGGATATGGGTATAGGGGGGGATGCACATTGGGTAATGTATTCGTATATAAAGATTGGTGAGGGAGTACCTCGAGAGCAGGTAGGGGGGAATATCTAGATAGGTGGTTATCATTGAGGTTTGGACTGAGAAAAGGTATTCGGCCATTCGACGGTACTCGACACTTTGAATATGATAATACACCCGGGTCTATAATCATCTCTGTTGACTCCTTTCCCATTTCCATTTCCATCTGCAATGGTATGAGAAGATTGCAAAATTTCCAAGGGTTTGGAGTTCGTGTACGGTACTTCCATACAATACCGCATGTATGTAACCTTATCTATCCTTGCATTTCAGCGGCATGCCCGCAATTAACCAATAGCCGACACGTTTACCGTTGAGTTCAACCACCGTCTTTTATTTATCATCAAACTCCAATTCATCCACCACTCCAACTCGCATTCGTGGCTTTCGTCCAACAAGGAACCGGACTAATATCCTCTCTGAATCCAATCAATTAGTTCCTTTCGCGGATGCATACTTGACGAATAGTTATGATCCATCGATTGGAGTACGCAAATCACTCCTCAACCTGTTGAGGACACATTCGTAGTGTACGAACACCTTCGACTCTCTCCGATGACGACTATGCGATGATAATTATATACAAATGCAATGAAGAACGAGGGAAGCCAAGAAAGAGGATCAACGTCGTCATGATTACCTAGAATCTTCACTCCACTTCACGCGACTGCAGTCGTCGAACATTTGGAGCATACTAGAATTATTCAGGGGCGAGTAATATCTCCCAATGATCGGTACCAATATCTATAACCTTGCATACAGCCTGCGGAGGCACACAACCGAATGACTCGTTGGTGTTGCGGTTGCACATGCTGCTCGTTTCTCATGAACAACTATATCCACTGCTTTTGCAGGTCTCTTATCTTGATGATCTTCATCGAGCCCTCCTCCCGCCCAAATCAATTCTACCACAACTCAAAGTCCAATATGGGTTGAATGTTGCTGCTATATTAGTGGTACATATCCTCGGCAGTACATAAGGTGAAGTCAACTGGTCTTGCAATACGCGAAGTGACAATACTTACAATTTCGTACATTTTCGTTCTCGGTGAATGGTGTATTTCTTACAAGCACCAGCTCATTGACCCAGCCAACAGAACAGAAGCCAGACCATTGGGATAGCCACCAAGGCCCGCTTCGTGCATACGACCCGCTCGTTACTATTTTGATCTCTTGTATTCAGATAATAATCTCTGGCCAGGCAAATTGGTATTCTACAGATACTACCACATAATCTCAGCTGATTGCTCAGCATCCTAACCTGTGAAATGCCTTTCGTCGCTGCATGTCATCGAAAAGATCTAAGATCTGCACCAATTATCAATGATTTGCGGTACAAAATAGAGATCCCACACCCCACCCGGCAGTTTATGCGATTGGGTTAGTCCTCGGCAATGAGCAGTTTGATTTCGAGCAGACTTTCTCGATAATTGCCCTCACGTTAATGCAAAGCTGTGAGCCATCTGCGGGGAAGATGGCGTTTTTATCCCAGCAGTATCTGCATATTTATTCAGAAATGGCACTTGATCACATGAATATTTGCAAGTATTAAGTAAAAAACGCTGGATTGAATGGTGGATGAAGGATCACATCTCCGCCATTGGACGATTGATGCTTCTGAAGCCTAAACTATAGTATCTTCCCCGATGATAGACCCCGAAATCGCTTTCTCCTAGAAAAATTCGAATGAAGTCTCCTTGAGCCACGCTATTACCAGAAATCAATTTGGACATCCCAACCATTCATCATAGCCGACCGGTACAAATCCAGTCTACAAAATTACCACGCTATTCCATCAATCAGAGTCCTCCATTGCCTCCACTTCCACCAAACTCAAAATTGTATCCAAAAGGATACTTGGTCTCTTCCTGGGTGAAGTTCCATTCAGAATTCTGTGAAAGATTACCAAGACCCTGGGCATTCGAGGTGTTTTGATTTGCTCCGAATTCTGGGACATATGATCGAGAATTTGGAACAAACAATTGGTTATTATGACCGCGCGATTGTCCTTGGGGGTTGGCCATGTTCAAATTGAATAGCTGGTCCGTGATCTGACTCAAATTTGCAGGCGAGGATGGCCGACTGCGAGAGATGGTGTTAGGAGGGGCATTGAAACCAATACTTGTGCTTGGCATTGCAAACGAGCTAGTACTGCCACCATATCGAAGGGTAGGTGTGCTAGGTCTACTTCCAGCGTTTATTGCTTGGAACGACGTCATCTGACTGGGTGTGAAAGGTCTTGCCCGACCACCGGATGGGAATGTAGATTTGCTCTGGGTGGCACGTGGTGATGCAAATCTAGCAGAAGCATCCGTACCAGACATTGTACCTGAAGAAGTACCAGCCATGTTACCAGCCATTGCATTTTGCTGTGTTGGGCGACCGTAGTACGCGGTGACATATGATGGTGGTCCTTGCCTGGTTTCAGAAACGGCTGCTTGGGTTTGATATCTTGCGGGAATGTTGGCCATGCTGGTCAAACCCGATGCAGCTTCTTTGTCCTTTGTAAGCTGGTTCTTCGGGCCATTGGGATTCCAGTTTGAATTGGCAGTTGGGATGAAAATGTCATCATCTTCCTGATCAAAACCTCTGGCGTTGTTAAACTCCTTTCTTGTCTGGTTTGCGATATCATCGAGAATTGCCTGTTCTTGAGCGCTCAATTTTGGCATAATTGGCTTTTCATTTTTCGCAATTGCTTTCATCGCAGAAGCAATTGAAGTTTTCATGTCAACTGGCTCTCCTGGAAGAAAATCGCAGTGGTCAATATCTGATGACACAGGATAGGGGATATGGCCCAGCGGGAACTCCTTGTGTGTTTTCGGATCACCGCCAATTCGTTGCCAATATGTCCAAGAAGTTGGCTTTGCCTGATATCCACCGGGATTATGATTAATAGCGGGAGGCAAGCTATCCCAGTCTGGAATAGGAGCTTTCTTCCACTCAGTTGTAGTGGTATCAACAGTGACATTCTCGCCAGCACCTTTATATTCGCCTCCATGCAAAAGACCATCAGTATTAGAGCTTTGGAAATCGACGGGCTTGCCCTTGCCCTTGTAATTTGTCGTGGGTGGTCGAGGATCCGAAGCGTCGACAGCTTCATCGAAAGTTGCACTAAACTTGAAGGCAGATGCGATAGGGTTCAAGCCACTTGATACTCCACTTGTAGATGTCGTCTTTTCTAAGATACCGCCGCCTGGTGGCTTACCACCTGACCAACGTCTGACTCTTGGGTGTCTGGAGCCGCCAGCGTCAAAGATATGACCAATGTCACTAATGTTGTATGTGTCTCTGCATTTGACAGTATGAAGCCTCAAAACAGGAACATTTCCTGCCACGCCAAGTTGGATAGCTGTGCAGTATAGGTCCCAATAGTTGTTCATTGGACCGCCGCTGATACAATTCCAAGTCACCCATTGTGCGGATGGGTTTGGGACATTGAGCGAAGCATGAGAAGTCGCATCGGTTACAACGCCTTCAATAGCTGGTAGAAAGCTGTCCATATCACGTTGACCACAACGAACGTCGATACGCCGAATCAAATACTTGCCCTTGCCTCTGTGGATAGAGTTAGGGTCACGCTCGCGTCCGTCGATAAGGCCCTGCAATTTATTGATCAAATCCTTTAGGTCTAGATTGAGAGTCAATAAAATCGTGTGGTGACTTGTTTCGCCGCCTATTTCATCGTATGCGATCACGTCAATTTCGCGCTCCGAAAGTTCACATCCTGCTCGAATATTATCCTCGCAGTATGCATTTAATTCGCGACATGCTTCCTCGTAGGTGAGCGGGACGGTGGTGGACATGGCGTGCTTAGTCTGGCTCGACTGATGAGATTGGTACGAGGCCACGGAGGGTGCGAGGTAGGGGTTAAGGTCTTCGCTATTGTCCGTATTGTCTTCAGACATTGGAACTTCGGCGGAAGGACCAAAACCGTCGCTGGCGGTTTGGTGGAGCATCTGATGCAAAAATGGAGGAATTTCCTCTTCTTCGTAATTATTCATATTAGCTATTGGAAAGCAAGATTGTTTTTAAACAATCAAAAAATGTGGGTAGATAAGATTTTAATCAGATCGAGGAAAGAAATTATTTGAAAGAAGAGGCTGCGAGGCAGAGGGTAATTTAGGTAAACATAAACGCACTAGCGTGTTTTGTTGCCATGGTAGAAAGTGAATGTTTATTCTGCCAAGTGGTATGCGTCGAGCGGTGTCAAAAGTGAAGGGGGGACGATAGTGAAGTTTGGAATTTCTTACCAACAGTTTCGGGTATGGTAGGAGTTGGAGGACCAACTATTATTCTTGTCAGTACGGACAATCAAAAGCTCAACGAGAGGTAGGATACCTACATGAGGGTTGATCTTTAGAAAAGTCGGCGTCAGCAAGATGACCATTATG